TTGGTTATGATTCTTGCTTTTCTTTAAATTGCTCATGGTTCAAATCCTAGTACATGTCTTTTTTATGAATAAATAAATAATAAATAAGCAATTGTGAAGACCAAAATGTCCTTCCTATATTCACTCTCATTGCAGGAAATTTGAAATGGAGCAACAGTTTTTCTCTTTGTGCTATTATATTATGTGTAGATTGATTAAAGCATGTCACAAACAAATGCAGAATGGGGGATCGAACCCTACCCCCAAAGTGAAAAAAAAACAATAGCTACTCCATTAGGCCAAATCAGTTCTGCTTTTAGTTCTTTGCACGAGCTTATTTATATAAAACGCTTCAGTTACTACGTAATTTTCAGAACACTCGAGTTTTAATTCATGATTTTGTTAATTTTCGGGGGGCCGGGGCCCCTTAGGGCCTGTGTAGCTCCGTCCCTGGAAGTCACATGTCAGACGACTAGAAGCTGAAGAGGAATTGCCGGCAGTCGTGGCACTGATACTGTTGAAGAAGGAGAAGATAAACACAGCCAGTGAGTGTGAGGAGTTTACGAAGGACTTCATTTTTTCCCCTTGTCCTTTGAGAGAGTGAAAATAAGAAGGGAGATTGGGAGAGATAAATGTCTACCGGGTGGGTCATGGGACTTAGGTAGGTTTTTTTTACGATAGGTGAGTTTTTAATAATTACATATAAGGTTAATTTCATTTTAGTCATAAATTTTTTAAATTACTATCTTATTTGTATATTTTTTATAAGAGTGATATAAGTTAACTTTTTTTACTTTATGTACTACTTGAGTGATTTTGAGACCTTCAGGTTCAAAACTAGTGGAATTTTTGTGTTTAAAGAAGGGTTAATACCTTATTTTGGCCCGAACTATACTCTAACTTTCTACTTTGATCCGTTGTTTATGAAATTGCTCCCTTGTCCCAAACTATGCACCATACTTCCTTGCTTGGCCCAGCGCGAATTTTGACTGTTAAATTGGACGGTAAACTCCATTGACCGTTAGTCAAGCGCCAGCTCACTTGCCACGTCAGTGAACCTAAAAAAAAAATTCTGATTTTTGATTTTACAGAAAATAGCGATAATAATTATGATTATTGTTATTAGATAACGAAAAGTATTATTGCTATTAGATAACGAAAAAAATTACAGAAATTCAAAATCCAAATTTTTTATCTAGGGTTCGCTAACGTGGCAAGTGACATGGCGCTTGACTAATGGTCAATGGAGTTGACAGTTCAATTTGACGGTCAATAGAGATGACCATGCAATTTGACGGTCAATGGAGTTGACTATCCAATTTGACTGTCAAACCCCGCTCTAGGGCAAACAAGGAAGTTTGATGCATAGTTCGGGCCAGGAGAGCAATTTTAGAAACCACGGGCCAAAGTAGAAAGCTTGGGTATAGTTTGGGCAAAAATATGGTAATAGCCCTTTAAAAAATGTGTAAAACTTCTCAAACATATTGGATCCCGATCATATCATTGAATCTCAAACCACTTACTTGACCAGCCCAACAATTTAAACCGGTTTGACAACCTTAGATAAAGGTAAAAGTTAGTGATCATGAGCTTATCATACTAGACTAAAAGAAGTTCATAATATCTTATTTTTATGTCCCTATATACTATATACTCCTCTCGAGACGACATGAAGACGTAAAAAGGAAAGAGAGATGAAATTTATCCCACTTTTGGGGTAGTAGGTCCTTGGTGAGGTCATATATATATATATGAATGAGATATGAATGAGTCTGGTTTTGGACGGATGTTGTGTTATTTGATCTTTGCCTCTGTCCTCTTGGCAGGGGTGGGCATCCGGCTCGGTAAACCCGAATCGAATCGAGCTGACCAATCCTAAACCGAACCAAAACCAAACAATTATTATTCGGTTGGAATTTAGAACCAGAATATGGGTATTTCGGAAACCAGGGTGGTCATACTGAACCTGAAATTCCGAAACCCGAATCGAGAACCCGAAATATATGCACAACTCAACTATACTAAACCATTTACTCTCCCAGCCTAGTCCCCACAGCCTAGCCCAGTCCCTAAGCGGCCTAGTCATCTCCCCAAGGCCATTTCCCAGTTCCCCCACAACCCAGCCCCATACCATTAACCCCACAACCCTAATACCCTATCCTAATAGCTAGAAAAAGAAAGAAGGAGGAAAATCGCCACCATCAGCCCACCCTCTGACCCTCACCACCATCGACCATTCACTTCTGATTGCTTCCTCGGCCCTCAGCGATGGCGAAGTTAAATATGTAGATCTGCGATGGAGGAAATCCGACGAAGGCACAGTAATAGAAGGAGTGCTCCTCGAGGAAGAATATCCAATTCTCGATCTAGTCTTCTGATCTTGCCACGACATCTTCTAGACCTTCTCGCTTTCCTCACCTACCGCTTGGGGTAGTTTTGTTTTTTGGTTTTTCCCCTTTTTGCAGGATTGCTTTGTTAAGCTCTAATGCTAAGTTTAGCATGCATAGGAAGGATGGGCTCTGCGTTTGGTGGTAGTTTAAAAAAGACTTGGGAATTCATGCAAAGAAAGTCGTTGTTGTGGCAGCTAGCTCGAAGGCTAGTGTAGGCGTATCGTGAAGATTATATCCTTTTTGGGGTAAATTACAAGGTTGGTCACTAAAATTACTAAAAACGTTCATGTTTAGTTACTACAAACATTTAATTTCATTCATGATCACTAGATTTAGTAAAACAGTACAAGTTTGGTCACTCTCGTTAGTCTCCATCCATTATTTGCTGACGTGGCAGACGGAATTGCTTAGTCAGCCTAATTTAACCCAAAATTGGTGAAACCCCACCCGCCATGTCACTAAAATTCGTTATGTCATCTTGTCCAACCTAACCCAACCATTGAACCTGCCCAACCCATAAACTGACCTACTCAAACAAAAATAAGGGTTTATCTTATTTTTCTTTCCAGATCTGAAAACCATCTTCTTTCTAGTTCTTTCCCTTCGAAAACCAGATCTTAATGTGCCTGATCGGCCCTCCCTTTAACAACCAGCTCCAGATGGTGCCTGACCGGTTGTCACATATAATCGCGGGCTCTGATTGCTGAGGACAATGACCCAACGAGGAAATGGCTGGTTCTCATTGAGAAGATTCTAGACAGCCTTACCGACAATATTCTAAAGCTAATCTAGATATGTATTGTTGTATTTGGTGGTTTTTGACATTTGGTTCTTGTATTTGGGGTTTTTGGCTTTGCTTTGGCTTGGCTTTGGGAAGACGGAAAACGAGAACGGATTAGGAGGAAGGTTAAGAGTAAGAAGAACTGAAGGTAGTAGGGATTTGGGTGGAGAGAAATTGGGTGTGGGTGGAGAAGGATGCGAAGGAATCATAGCCTCGTCGTTCGCACTTCGTTGGTGCTCCTCAACAGGTCCAATCAAATTATGGAATTGGACTAAATGGATTTCTCTGAGCGAATCTGGTAAAAGAAGAAAGAAAGATGAAGAGAAATATTGGATTCAAACAAAGATATTCTAGTGAGTGAAGTATTATGGGCGCTGGTGGAGAAAGCTGATAAGAAGTTCTCCAAGATCAGATACTTGCCTTACTACGAGCGTGCATGTATTCTTCTTTCTCCTCCATCGATGACAGGCTGTGGAGGCTGTGATTGATGATCGAACAGTCACCGACGAGCCAAAACCAGAGACAAGCTTCTCGTAAGCTTCCCCTGGATTTTCATCTGATGACTGAAAGATGGTCGAGGGAATCTCCTCTGTTTTTGCTGCTGCTGACACTTTGGCGAGGGCAAGCAAGGCGCCGCGGTCGCTGACAGTGAGGAAGGAGGCACAGTCGAAAATCTGTTTTACATTTTAGGGATTTAGCATGAGTGGGTCGTTTATTGGGATGGGTTTGGTTAAAGGGTTCAGTTGGGAAAGATGACATGGTGGGTCTTAGTGACGTGGCGGCTCGGGTTTCACCAGCTTTGTATTAAATTAGGCTGACTAAGCGATTCCATCCGCTACGCCAGCAAATAACGGGCTTGGTTAATGGAGACGGACGAAGACTAACGGAGAGTGACCAAACTTAGACTGTGTTATTAAATCTAGTGCACATGAATGGAATTAAGTATTTGTAGTGTCTAAACATGAACTTGTTTTGTAATGTCAGTGAACATCCTTGCAATTTACCCATCCTTTTTGTGATCAAGTGTTATTTCGTCATTATTTTTCTTAGAAAACTAACAGAGCTGCCCATTTAGTGGCATAAAAAGGGTCTTTTATCGACAAATCGATTAGTATATAATATCTACGGAAGGGCTTAGTTACTCAATTTTCATTAGTAGTGGTACTTATTTAGATATTAATTAAAAGTAAGAGTAGCAAAGTAGCATCTTTTACCCTCTGCCGACTGCCTTCACTCTTCAGTTAGGAAGTGTTTCGAGCTGAAAATACCCTAAAAAAATCTTCGCTCCTTCTAATCGCCAAATCCTCCAATCCCCGCCGACCACCGTCCTCCATCGCCGCCGTCGTGGCTTCCCCACCTCCGCCTCCCAGCTCCCGTTTACACCTCCGGTCGCCCTCTCCTCAGTCCGCAGCTAAGGCTCGGCGTTTCTTCAGGTAATTAAATGCCGCCCCTCCTTTCTGTTTGTCACTTTATAGGGAAGCAAACTTCATAACTAAGTCTGATTGCTTCAAAGACCGGTCAGTGAGTTGAGTTTCCATGGACGATGATAAACTTACCGAGTCACTGACACTCTATGTCCGAACTTAGAACTATTAGAATGAAACCAAGTTTTCTTTCGTTGTTTAACCTCACAAATTCCTCTCCAATGCTGTTTTGTTTCGTCATTTCTTCTTGAGTAAGGGTTTCCACAACTCTTTACCTGCTTGATTAATTGTTATCGAAATCTAATTTCGCCCTGTTATGTATATTTGAATGCCTAAAAGCCTTGCATTTCCTGGAATGATGTATCAAGGGTAGCGCATTCATGACTGCTTAGAATCGACTGTGAGGAACACTTTCATTCTGTCCAGATGAATCGTTGCCTGGCAATATTCGCTTACAGTCGCAGCTTTCATCTCCCTACCACTCGAATCACTGGTACCTTACTATACTCTCATGTTGCTGGTCCCTTGAATCAGAAGACTTACGCTTTGGCTCTATGTCGGTTACTATCCTATACTCCACCCCACCACCGACGGCCCCCTGACCCTGACGACCCCTCCAACCTGATGAGAGAAGATGGTGTCTCAGTTTGTTCCCAAATGTGGATTGAGAACTTCCGTGAACCGGACAGAACAGTCACCAACTTGACCTCTTTTCTACGTCGGTTTGAGTTGTGGGTTCTAGCCTATCAGAAAGTTTGTGCTGATGAAATCGGAACCTATGTACCTCGTAGCGCTATTCAGAGGTCAGCATTGGAGGATTTGCTTGTGCTTAGGAATGCTGTTCTGGATGGTAGATTCAAGTGGGGGGCTAGGTTGGATTTCTTTATCAAATCTCCCAAGGATAAGACTGATTATGCCTCATTGTCCAAGAGGAAGATCAAGGCGATTCTCACCACCACGCAGCCTGCAGCTTTCCAGGATAAGATAGTCCAGGAGGTGTTGTTCTTGATCCTGGAGCCTGTTTATGAATCCAGATTTTCACAGAAGTCGTTTGCATTTAGACCCGGGAGGACTGCTCATACTGTATTGAGGGTGGTTAGGAGGAGTTTTGCTGGGTACTTGTGGTACTTGAAAGGAGACTTGAGCACAGTTTTGGATGGAATGAAGGATAGTTTTGTGATAGGAGCATTGATGAGGGATGTGAGGGATAAGAAGATAGTTGACCTGATCAAGTCTGCTTTGACCACACCGGTGATCAAAACTGCAGTGGAGCCACCAAAGAAGAAGACAAAGAGGAAGCACCAGAAGAAGAGAGTTCTGCAAGAGGATGAGCCGAAGCCGGATCCGTATTGGCTAGACACATTTTTCGGTTTTGCACCCGAAGAAGCTGAGAAACAACCTTCATGGGGCCACTGTGGGATTCTTAGTCCACTACTAGCTAACGTTTGTCTCGATGAGTTGGATCAATGGGTGGAGGGAAAGATCAAGGATTACTATTCCCCTTCGAAGAGTGACGTGATATGGAATACCCCAGAAGGGGAAGCAGAACAAGGCAACACTTCCTGGCCAGAATTTGTGCCGACTAGCGGCCCTGATAAGACCAGGAAAATGGACTATGTCCGTTACGGTGGTCATATCTTGATCGGTGTCAGGGGTCCCAGGGCAGATGCAGCTACGCTGAGAAAGCAGTTGGTCGAATTTGTCGATCAGAAGTACATGCTCAAGCTCGACAATGACAGTCTTCCCATTGAACACATAACAAAGGGGATCATGTTTCTCGACCATGTTCTATGCAGGAGAGTTGTATATCCTACACTTAGATATACCGCCACTGGAGGCAAGATCATCAGCGAAAAGGGCGTGGGGACTCTTCTATCAGTCACTGCCAGCTTGAAGCAATGCATCAAGCAGTTTAGAAAGCTGCAGTTTTTGAAAGGAGATCGAGATCCAGACCCACAGCCTTGCTTTCGTATGTTCCACGCCACACAAGCTCATACCAATGCTCAGATGAACAAGTTCCTATCGACCATGGTGGAGTGGTACAGGTATGCTGATAACAGGAAAAAGATTGTCAACTTCTGCTCCTACATTTTAAGAGGTTCACTAGCAAAGCTCTATGCTGCTAAATACAAGCTACGTTCTCGTGCTAAGGTGTACAAGATTGGTGCTCGAAATCTTAGTCGTCCTTTAAAGGAGAAGAAAGGTTCTTCCCCTGAGTACCATAATTTGCTGAGAATGGGGCTCGTGGAGTCCATCGATGGGCTTCAGTACACTCGAATGTCACTTGTTCCTGAAACCGACTACTCACCTTTCCCAAATAACTGGAGGCCCGATCATGAGAAGGCTTTGCTCGAATATATAAACCTCGAAGATCCCCAGAGGCTGGATGAGCAGCGGTCCCTGATTAATGAACAAGGTCTGATCTCACCTCAGGATTACATATCCATGCTCGTGTGGAACTACAAGAGGAATGCTCTTCCCATGGATCATCAGCTTTCTATCTCATCGACAGCTAGCATCACAGCTACAGAGCAGACTTTACTCTCTGGAGTAGAAAATCAGACCAGCACAGAAGAACATATGGAGCATAGGACAACGACTAGGTTAATTGCAGCACAAATGTAAGAGCGATCTTTTGCTCTTGAGCTGCTGCAACTTGTGTTAGAGACTACTAGTCGTGCTTGAGTTGTTTGTATATAGACATATGAGTTCCAAATTTGATGGGAGACCACAGGAGGGTTCATTTTACTAAAAAAGCTGTTATAATGTTGTATTGATTTATGCGATTAGTTTTTATGAACATTAGCTTTCTTTATGCTGTAGAGTCAGCCGGTGCGGCGGTGATAGGCTGATAGCTAGCCATTTTTGTTCTTCCAATGTTGAAATAACCAGTTGCTTCCATCAAAGAGCAAAATGTGGCAGGCATTCATACAACTCTATGTGGAACATCATTCAGCTGAGCTTATTATCTCCTTTTCTTGGAGTTTGCTCAAAGTACACTAGTTAAAAAAAGTTCCCATACCAGAATTTGTCAATCTACACATATTTAGCATTGATCATGTTCGTCAAAAGTATTTGTGATTTGTGATATCGCTTTCGTCAAAAGTATCTGTGATTGTATGTGACAAAGGCAATGCGGCTTTCATTGCTAAGGAAAAAAAAGTGATGCACAGGGATCGCTGAGTTGGTAAGTGATCAACGGCGCATCCCGTTATAGAGGAACGATCCGCGTGCACCGCTGTTAGAATCCCTCTTTCTAGAGCTTCTAGGGACTGATCTTCGGCACTCGCGATTATACGTAATGATAGGAATTTAGGGATTGGGGATAGAAATTAGGGATTTAGATAGGAGAATTAGGGATTTAGGGTTGAAGAATAGAATTGGAGAAGATAGGGAAGAATAGGTCGGCGACTGTTTAGGGGAGAGAGAGACGAGAATTGAAAGAGATTAGAGACTAGGGTTGAGAGATACTTTATGTAATATTATCCTTGACTGATTATAAAGTAAACCCAAAGTACATATTTATAGGGAAAATACGAGAAATCCTTATAAATAACCTAATTCTACCCAAATACTACTAACCCTAACAATAATTATCCTACCATAAATAAATAGAGAAACCCACGAAAACAACAATCCCCTCCTCTTGAAAGCGACCTTGCCCTCAAGGTTGCAGCCAGCTTCCACCTTCTTTTCCCTCTGCTTTCGTCATATCCAGTTGCGCTCCAGCTCGCGAATGACTTCTTCTTGGACATCTCCAACTTTCTTAAACTCTTCTCGAACCACGTGACACATGCCTCGTTCTTCATAACCGAACAATTTTTCCTCCTCTCTTTCGAACTCCATGAAATAAGAGTCGGAGAGCTGCTCCTCTTTATGCTCCATAAATTCCTCCATAAGCTTGATGGTGAAAACAATCTAACCTTCTCTTCCTTCATCTTTAACTTGGCCCACAAATGCTTGAAAGAAAGATGTGTGGCCCAAACCCAAGTCAAGCCTCTCCTTGCTCCATCTTTCTTCCAACCCAGTTGGGCCTGTCTCATTTAGTAGCCCACCTCCCAACTCATTGAGCCCACTGTCTTCTTTCTTCAAGTAGCATTCCTGTAAATTAAATTGAATAAGACAACTTAATGGTGGACCAAAATCCTCCTCAAAATTCAGTCCATCTTTCACTTTAACTCAGGTTTCTCTTTCTTTTTTGTTCAGCTGCCACCCATCCTTGGCCCAGCTCGTGTCGACAGAATCTCTGACCCAGCGACCCGATAGCATGACCCAGGGAGATGGCTTGTTGCTGAAGCATCGGGCCCAACTTGAGCCCATTGAAATTCAGCCTCTGACCCACCCCACTCGACCCATCTACTCGACCCAGCCGCCTAAGAGTTTGCGAGAGGGAGGACAACGTCATCGCTGTCACCCTCCTATGTCGATTCATTTATGTGAACTCCCTCTTCACCTAGCTCCACGGCTGCAACAAACAAGGCAATAGGCGGCGGGAGGCAAGCACAATTCAGCGCTCCTCTTCTTCGGCCTTGTCTCCACGACGATCGTTGGCTCGCAGGAGATAGAGATGCCACCGCCCTCGTTCTCCTTTCTTTCCTTCTTCAACTTCCCCGGCGAGGAACAGATCCCCCAGCGGGAAGTGTGCTTGATTTTTGCCGTGCGGGTCAACTTTTCTTTCTTCTCGTCCGACATAGTCCTCGAAGACAATCTGATCAACTATCGTCATTGGGGTCAGCTCGCCTCCAGCCTCTTCTTCTTGGTCGTCGTCTTTAGCTCCTCTACACTTGGTGCCGTCATTGGAGTCCACTCTCCGACAATGGGCGCTTACATCGCTTCCGCTTTGCCTCATCGGCCATTGCCAACGCGAAGCCCCTTCTCTGGTTTCCTCGGCGGCGAACAGATCGTCCCACGAGAGGTCTCACCCACGTCCTGCGTCGTCTTTGACATTTTCTCCTCACAGATTGACCCCACGAAGGAAGTCATCGTCGATTGTTGCATTTTCCTTTCGCTCGCCTCCTTCGCCGGCTTTATGTCCGCCACCTTCTCAATGGGAGCAGAAGCCAATTGTTGCTCCAGATGCTGGACTCTCGACTTCAACCGACAAATCCCTAGGCCAGTCGCCACCTCTGACGTGCATTGCCGATGGACTGGGCACTAGTCTCCATCTTTTCCCGTTTCCCAGCTCCACTGCGGAACTTCGCCAACGTCAAGTTGAACTCGGGAATTCTGGTCGTCTAGGTCTTGGCGATCGCGACGACTGGCGAGGGCGCTCTCTGTTCGTGGTGGCTAACGCACTGGACCCTGGCTCCTCTTTGTCTGACCTAGGCTTTTTCCGAAATTGCCAGTTCTCTACTCAATCTGGTGTTGACATCCTCCCTGGAACTTCGGCCTTGGGTTCTTCTCCAAACCCGATGTCATCTCGTTGCTTGGAACGCCAACAAGAGCAACAACAAACTCTCCTTCTTCTTTGGCTATCCCAATGTTCATCGCCTTGTTCCCCACCTTGGTCTTCACAACGACAATTGTTGACAGAGTTGAGAATTCTCATTTGGTCCGCGGCTCCGCTTCCTGGAGCTCATCGACCTCTGCCATCGTCTCGGCCTATGAAGGAGTGGTCGATGATGTTGATTTCGCAGGGAAGACAGCCGCTACAGCACCTGCTTTCTCGACCTTCACAACGATGCTGGTTGGTGGCGCTGACGTGTCTTTTGTTGCTGGCAGATTCGCCGCCATCAACTCCTTCATCGTGTTCATTCCGAGCTTCAGCTTCAATTCTCTTGTGAGTTCTCTGAGTGAGAGTTCGAAACTTGCCATAGCTTCGGTACGAATGCTTGCAACTGGCCTCTGATACCACTGTTAGAAACCCTCTGTCTAGGGCTTCTAAGGACTGATCTTCGGCACCCGCAATTATACGTAATGATTGGAATTTAGGGATTGGGGATAGAAATTAGGGATTTAGATAGGAGAATTGGGGATATAGGATTGAAGAATATAATTGGGGAAGATATGGAAGAATAGGTCGGCGACCGTTTAGGGGAGAGAGGGACGAGAATTGGGAGAGATTCTTTCTATAATATTATCCTTGGATGATTATGACGTAAACCCAAAGTGCATATTTATAGGAAAAATACGAGAAGAAATCCTAATAAATAACATAATTTTACCTAAATACTACTAACCCTAACAATAAATATCCTACCATACATTAATAGAGAAACCCACGAAAATTGGGTTTCTAACAACCGCCAAGGCGAAAAGTGACTGGCCCAAATTCCCAGCACGTATCACTGAGGTGGAGAGCGGAAAGACGATCGCTTTTGACAAAAACAATGTGCACGATTCACTTTATATCACGAATTCGTGCTCCCCCATCAACAACTATAAATACTCCCTTCCTTCATTCAGAGCACCACAATACTTAGTTCTTCCTCTCTTCTACCACTCAAAGAATTCTTAATATGCTCTGTAGGTGCGTCTACCTCATATAGCAATAGTTTTCCTTATATTTGTGATACTACCCTCCCATCTAACAATTTGGTCAACCCACTTGTTTTTCGGGAAACTTCAAACTTAGGGTACCTACTTGTTTTTCATCTTAAGATTTATTGTTTTTCATCTTAAAATTACTGCAACCCACTGTTCGACTTTCGGGAAAAATGGGCGAGGACACTCTTAGGGTACCTACTTGTTTTTCATCTTAAGATTTATTGTTTAGTAAATTTGTTGTTCATTTGGTTTCTATTGTGAATTATTAACGTGAATCATTGGTCAGACTAGGGTGTATATAGGTTGGATGGTTCAGATTTAGTCGTTTTAATCACCCGTTCGTACACTTCGGTTATGAAAAACTAATTTTTTTTCCAATATACCACCCAAAAACTAAAAATTCAAAAATACCTCCTTTTTCAAAAATTTCCATCCATACCACCATTTCACAAGGACCGCATCCCCCATGGCGGTGTAAACAAGAACCGCAGGGGGTGTTGTTGTTCCGTTCTTGCCGCCTACGGACCGCGTGGGGTGGCAGCGACCAGATTGACCGTGCGCCACCTTAGTGATCCGGGCCAAACCGCCGCACCCCCCACGGTCCGCTCTATTAGTATCTTTCCCGATGAATGTCTAACCTAGGCGGAAACTTCAAACGAACGTAACCTTGTGCTCGATTATCTGATCGTAGCCAAAAAAATTTTGATTCCGCCAAAATTTTGTGAGATCTTGCAAGTCGCTAACAGCCTATAGAGGTTTGGTCTCGCCTTCGTCCTAAAAAACGTCGTTTGCAACCCCGAATGAGCAATTTTTTATTTCGCCAAACTTTGAACGGGCATAACTTTGTGCTTCATAACCCGAACGCCAATTTTTTTTTATTCTGCATAATTTTCTAAGAATTACAAGTTTTACTAGGAATGAATTTTTAAAACAAGAAATCTTTTTGGATATAAGGAGTTTTGGGAATAACTTTGGCTTTACGATTCACAAATCCACATACATTATGAGAATATGGCTATGATAAAAGTTGTAGTCCTTAAAAAGTTATGTGAAATCAATTTTTTGTGACATTCGGATTGTGAGCACACAATTATGACCATTCAAAATTTGGAGAATTCCAAAAAATGCTTGTTTGGGGT